GTCCCTGCCGGGGGGACAGTGTCAGTGGGCACCATGTCCCTGCCGGGGGGACAGCGTCAGTGGGCACCATGTCCCTGCCGGGGGGTCAGCATCAATGGGCACCACGTCCCTGCTGGGGGGACAGTGTCAATGGGCACACCAAGTCCCCGGGAAGAAGCTCTGGTGAGAGCATCCCTACGGGGCCAGCAGGTAGTGTGGTAGTTGACTCCCACGTGGCCGATCATGGTTCAAGTCCTGGACCTGGCAGCTTGCTTTCTCTCTCTCTCTTTCTGTCTCTCCTCTGTGAGTACATATGCCCTCTAGTAAATTAAATAATAATAATAAATAAAGTTAAAATAAACAATTTTTTTAAAGATGCTCTTAAAACTAATTTAGGGGGAATCAGCAGGTGGCATGGTGGTTAAGGTGCTGGACATTCCCACGTGGCCGACCGTGGTTCGAGCTCCAGACCTGATGGCGTGCTTTCTCACTTTCCCTCTCTCTCTGTCTCTCTCTGGTCGAATTAAAATCAATGAATGAATAAATAAAATTAAATAATTATTTTAAGAAACATAACCCGTGTTCCAGTGTTCACATTAGCAATAGAAAATTCAAAAGCAGGAGCAGGTGCCGTTTGGATCGTAACTCTCTCAACGACTGACTTTTCCAAATGGGTTTTTCATCTTTAACTCTGTGCTTTGAGGCTTTAATACCTGGAGTCTTCTTCATCAAGACGCAAAAGGGAAAAAAAGTCAAAGTGAACATAAACTATATAGTCATTAATCTATTCGTTCGGCAAAACCGTATGGAATGCCACCTGTGCCAGCTGTGGGCCACAGAGTCCCGCAAGAAACCCGGAGGCCGAGGCAGGTGGTGCCAGGGACCCCCGTGGAGTGGGGAGGTGGCCAGGTCAGCACCACCTGCTGCCACCACCCTGTGAGGCCGGGGCTCGGCACCCAGCACCCGTTCTTCCGACTCTCCCTGCCTTTACCGAGAGAAGCTGTTCCCGCAGTTAGGACGGCTATGTTGGGAACCCCCAGGCTCCCTGGGACAGCTCATTCCCCCGGGCGCCCGGAGGACTGTGCTGGCTTTTGAGATGTTGAGCTGCCAGGCCACCACAGCGGGGTGGCATTCACACTCTGTACTGCCGAGGCTGTGGTGGGCCCAGGCTGAGTCCCTGGCCTCCATCGCGCCTCCCTGCTGGGTGTGCTTCCCGCTCTGCCACTGTCTGAGGCCACGGACAGCAACCTTGCAGCTGCAGAGGCACCATACGACCCCGAAATCCCACGCCCGCTGTTTGTCCGAAAGACAGAGCTCCATGTCGTCTCCACAGCAGTGTCGCTCACAGCCGCCGAGACGTGGACTCACGCT